ATTTTAATTATTTTTTTAAACACATTTAAATATAATATTTATCCATATTCAACATGATGTTTATCATGTCAGCCAATTAATGATATTAGAGTTAATTGTTATGTTAAGATAATTTAATTCATTTAATAAATTAGTTTAAATTGCTTGTATAATTTTTACAATTATATTAATTAATTTAAAAATTAAGCACTTAAAAATGTAACATTTATTGTTAATAATTTTATAATTTATAATTATTACAAAATTAATCACATTATCATTAACCAAGAGATATAAATAGAGTAGCAAATTTATGATTTAGCTACTTCTAGTTATAAAATTACAGTTTAATTTTTACTTGTATTTATATCGGATGTTTTTTAAACTAATAATTTATATTAATATTAAAATATGAAATTCTTATAAATCAATTAAAAGCCTAATAAAAAAACTACGCTTACCAAAATATTGCTTAACTAATTGGATTAATTTGTAATATGTAACAATCATGTAACATAATTTGTATGCAGATTCCAATAACAATTTTATACTATACTATATACAATTAATTATTATATTTAAGAAGTACATTACAGTTTATTTATCACCAATGTAAATTTTTTACTAAAAATTTTACTATTGAATGTAGTTAAGTATATTTTATTTAAAATAATTTATATCAAAATTTTTAAAAATATAATAAAATACTAAAGTATCTAACAACATTAATTTTATAACTTACAATATAAATTGTTATTAAAAATACACTGGGCAGTTAAATAAGTTATTTAAATTATTATGTTTAAATCAATGTTTTATTAAGTTTACTATAAATTTATTAGATTTAACTATCTCCAATAAATTAAAACATTTTCTTAGATAATCAATTGCATATAAAAATAAACTATTGCTTTATTTAAACGAAGCTATTACATTTAAATTTGCCAAAGAGCCTCTAGGTCACAACCAAAACAATGAACATGTAATAATTCTAACTGGCACAGGCTGAAGGGCAAGGGCAAGTGGGCAAGGGCAAGCGCTTGCCCACCAAAAATGGGCAAGTGATAGTGCTTGCCCACTAAAAAAGGGCCCGGGCCCGGATAAGATTTTTCTATATACGCCAATACCAATATTTTGACGGTCGATTGGTCGACCTAAATGCCGATCAAAGTGGGAACGGATGGCACGGACTTTTTTAGTGGGCAAGCACTATCCCTTGCCCATTTTTGGTGGGCAAGCACTATCCCTTGCCCATTTTTGGTGGGCAAGCACTATCCCTTGCCCATTTTTGATGGGCAAAAACTATCCCTTGCCCATTTTTAGTGGGCAAGCACTATCACTTGCCCATTTTTGGTGGGCAAGGGCAGACGCTTGCCCTTGCCCACTTGCCCTTGCCCTTCAGCCTGTGCCATTCTAACTACAGTATACAGTATACATACTGTAGTAATTCTAACTTCAGTATGTATATAATTATACATACAAATAAAATAAATGACAATATTTTATTCAGGAAAGTTAATTCTATAATTATTTCTAAACGCACTGGTCATAAACTACCATTGATGTATTAAATATTATGTAAATTTTTGCACTGATATGCATATGAAATAACATTTTGCCGAATAATGAAATTAATATTTTGTAAAATAAAAATAAAAATATTGAAAATACAAGAAGACCAATTTAAAAATAATTTTAAATTATTGATATGACTAATATGCTACTTAAATATTGTACCTACAGCTTTTATTGTAAACTAATACTAATTATTTAAAATAGTTAATTCGGTTTCAATCAGCATCTTTAATGTTTAACTACATTTTTGTTATAATTAATTAAAATTTATTGCCATGAGCCTTTACTAGGCATTAGACTGTTTCTGTATAATTGGTTTTTAAAATTCTAGAATAGAATATTTATTATTCAAACTTGCTAAATATTTTGAGGTTAATATTTTAAATTATTTTGTAAATAATAATATACTGTAAACTTAACGCTAAATTAGTAAAATATAATTTAGGTTTACATATATAAGATACTTATGGCGTTGGTATAAATCGTTGTAACATTAATTATAATTTTTTTAAATGTTTTTTCTAATACATGTAACCATAATATTTTGTTTACAAATATTGAATATTATATTAATAATGTCCATCAATCTATGATACCAGAGTTAATTATTATGTTTTGTTAATTTAATTCATTTAACAAAATACAATAACATAAATTGCTTTTATAACCTTGTATATTAACTAGTTTGCTAATTTTAAAAAAATTAAGTATCCAAAACTATAACATTTATTGTTAAAAATTTTATTATTCATAATTATTATAGAATTATCCACATATCTGAAACAACCAATTAGATATAAATACAGTAGCAAATATATGATTTAGTTATTTTTAGCTATAAAATTACAGTTTAATTTTCCTTTGTTTTTGTGTCCGATGTTTATTAAACTAATAATTTATACTAATATTAAAATATGAAATTATTATTAATTAATTAAAAACTCAACAAAAATCACTATGCTTAACTAATTAGATCAATTTGTATTAATAGTATGTACATAATTAAAGTTGTCTATAAATATTATTTACGTTAACTAAATGTATAAAATATAAACAAATTAATCTGAATAAACTTGCTATATTTTAAGTAATAACATTGGATAAGTAATAATGTATAAATTAAACCCAGTTTCTGATTCCATTCCAATGACATTTTTATATTATACAATAAATGATTAGTTACTATATTTAAGAAGTAATTTACAGTTTATTTATCAACAATGTAATTTTATTAGATATAACTACCTCCAATAAATGATAATCAAATAATCAAACTTTTTAAAAATATTATTTAAAGTAATAAATATGCAAAAATACTATTAAAGGTAATAGAGCTATATATTGTATACGGTACTCTTGTAAACATTATGCTATTTGTGATCAACTAAATTCATTTAGGTACTCATTAATAATAATAAAATAATAATAATAATGTTTATTGATTTCAAGAACTATAAGTAACTATAACTAAACAAGGCACTATAAGATAATAATATGATATATTTATATTATATATAATAAATTTAACATAATTTAACAATAAGCTAAATTACCACAAATGTAAGTTAACCATAAAAATGGACGATATACTACCACGTTGGCCTTTGTGGTAGAGTTACTTGATTATTAATTGATATGTTTATGATAAACCTAATAATAATATATAAAGTTTATATTATAAACGTTTATTTTTGATTAATTAGATTTCCAAGAAATATTATTGTATAATCACTATATACTCTGGGTGGTTAAAATTAGTATCTCATCTTTGTTATATTAATAAAACACTGCATTTTTATCATTATAAATTTCTAATGAAATCGCACGCGATAACTATTCTGGTAAAACAACCAGATGGAAAATAACAATTTTACAACACCAAGTTGCAATCAAGAATTTAAAGATTAAGTTTACCTGGGTATATAAATCGTAGAATTATTATAGCAGTAATTAATAACAATTTATTTTATAAAATTATATACAATGAAAGTGTTGTGTTTGTTGTCGTTATTGTATTTATCGGTTAATTCATTGCCAGCCAATGAGTTTACTGGTAAGAAGTGGGTTGTATTGGTAGCTGGGTCAAATACCTGGGATAATTATAGACATCAGGTAATTCTCTCTCTCTCTCTCTCTCTCTCTCCAAATAATTTAATAATTTTTAACCCTAAAGGCCGACATATACCACGCGTATCATACAGTGAGAGCAAATGGTATCGCGGATGAAAACATAATTGTCATGCATTACGACGATATCGCTAACAACAAGCAAAACAAATACCCGGGAAAGGTATACAACGCACCCACCGGTCATAACGGCACTGATGTCTATCCGGGAGTACCCAAGCATTACACCGGCGAAGACGTTAACCCAGAGGTAAATTAATTAAATATGTTTTTAGTAATTACATTTTTAACATTGTAATAATTATTTATTTTATTTATATAACAGACTTTCCTGAAAGTATTGGCCGGCGATGAGGGCCTTAAAAAGGCGGGCAAACGGGTGCTGGAAAGCGGACCTAACGACCACGTGTTTGTATTTTTTGATGACCATGGTGCTCCCGATGTTGTGTGCTTCCCGCACAAGGATTTAAAGGCAATGGATTTGATTGATACTTTAAAGCAAATGCACCATGATAAGAAATACGCCAAATTAGTTTTTTATATTGAAGCGTGCGAATCAGGTTTGATAGAATCTATTTACTTTATATTTAATTATAACATTAATTGGACGAATAACGTATAATATGTTTTATCAAACTGCCCAGGCTCAATGTTTTACAAAATATTACCCACCGACATCAACATTTACGCCACCACTGCCTCCAAGCCCGACGAGGGAAGCGATGCTTGTTATTATGACAAGGATATTAAAAATTATTTAGGTTAGTTATCTAGGCTAATTATCGTTGGTTATATTATTTAACATGATAATTTTATATTCAGGCGATACGTATAGCGTTAACTGGATTATCAATACAGAGTCGGCCACAAAAGCGACCACATTTCAGGAGCAGTTTGATTACGTTAAGGCAAATACACCCAACTCTGTTCCCCAACAATATGGTGATCTATCAATTGCTAAACTACCTATCTCGCTATTTTTGGGTATGTATTTATTTATCATTTTTACCTTATACATTGTAACTCATTGTTTTACGATTTTAATTTTTTGAGTTATCTACATTATTAAACTAGATTGATAATAGGCTTAACAGAATTCAGAAATTTGAAATACTATAGTTTATAAACATTTATATTGTAGTTTAGATTTTATAATTAATATTATAAAACTATATTTATTAAAAATCAGTTATAAATTAAACTAAAAAACATAAACTTAAACAATAATCTAGGTTCAAGAAAAAATCCCCAACCAATTGGACCCATAAATGTCAATATTAACCGAGATGTGGGCCGTAATAGAGACGTACCGTTATTGTTGGCCCAAAAAAGTGGTGATTTTGAGAGATATCAACAATTAGTGACCGGAAGACAGTTTGTGGACAATATGTTCAGTGAATACGTGAATAGTATTCAACACTTAATGAACGCAAACAATGATGTCTTCAATACTAGACTAGAGCTCAATAACAGAGAGTGTTATCACAACTTTGTCGACACTTTCAAAGAACAATGCCTTCAAATCACCAAGGTCTGTAATCATCATTTTTTTATACAAGCAGAATTATATCATATTTATTTTTCCATTTCATAGCATACCTACGTTTTGGGCAAATTATACACATTTGTTAACATTTGTGAGCAAATCAATGACTTGAACGCTGCCAAAGCCCTCAACCAATTGATCCAATACTGTCAACAAAATTTACCTAATGGTTACCCGAATGCTATTTTGTAACATTAATATACCTTGGTAATATTGTTTATTTGTTATAAACAATGCGAAAATGTTTAATAAAATATTATTCTATTAATAAAGTAATTATTATTCAATAAAGACTAAAAACAATATAAATATAATTACCGATAATATAAACTAACGATTTTAAATGTTATCCATATTACAAGCTTATCACAAAATATAAATTCTCACATTTTAAACTTGTTTAATACCTATACTAAAAAGACAATTAATGTTTACCGAGATTACTAACGAAGTAATAATTATTTAGATATGATTTAGTAAATGTTTTATTTTGAATTTTGCATTAAAATAATTGTATTTTAAATTTAAAAATTTAATGATTTACCTCAATTTAATGTGCTAATTTTATTAAATTATTTTGACATCGGTTATATTTTGATAACGTTGTGGAGAATAAGACCATTAGATTATCAAATATATTATTTGATAATCTAATAAAATTATACTGTTTTTAGATATAATTACAGTTTTTGTATTTGACTTTATTAAAATAGTATGTTTTTTACTATGTAGACTGTAAGTAAAATTTTTAAGTAATGTAAAATTAGTAACTTTTAATGATTTTATATTAATTTGGTTGTAGAAAAAACTTGCTTGATTTTTAAAAAATTATTGTATGTAACAATTTATTACTGATAAATCAATTATATAGATTAGGGTTTGCTATTCCTGTCTAAATAATATTATCTTGATCAAAATTTTCAATGTTATATTATCTCATATTGTAAATGGTTGTTGATCAGAGTTTTAAAATAACTATTACTACTGTAGCAAATTTACTTACAAATAAATTGCACCAATTTAGATCTCAATAAACACTAATTTTAATCATAACAAAAATTATAACATTGCCACTTAATTAGGTCTATAATTAATATTTGTTTAAAGTGCCTATTTTAATTGATGTAGGTTTATATTCTGTTAGATTTTTAATAAAATAAGTTTTTGTTAAATTTGATCGACTGTAAATACCATATTAAAATAATGTAAAATTAGACACAAATTAAGATAGATTATTTTATGGTGGAGACGGTTTTATCATTTTAAATTAAACTTTTAATTACACATAATTTTAATGTTTTAGATCTTTTACTATTATTTTGATTTTATGTTTACTTCATTTGATAATGTTAATATTAAAATACTTTTATTAATTACTTTATTTATCTGTATACTAAAAAAGACAATTAATGTTTACCGAGATTAATAGTGAAATAATAATTATTTAGATATTATTTAGTAAATGTTTTACTTCAAATTTTGCGTTAAAATAATTGTATTTTTTAAAATTAAAGTTACCTTAATATATTGTGCTAATTTTAATAAAAATAAATTATATTTTAATTTGTCGGTGGCAAATAAAACCAATGAATGTTATATAATTCCATAAACTAATTTTCTACTATTTAGTTGATATAATTACAGTTATTCTGTTTGATAAAAAAACTATTAAAATGCTATTAATATATAAACTGTAAGTGAACTTTTACAATATTGTAAAATGAGTAACTATTTATGAAATTATATAGATTGGTCTGTAGAACCATTTGGTATTTTTAATTAACTATGTTTAATAATTAATTAAATTTTTAAAAACTATTTATACTAGTATATTTTAGATACATTTACATTTTCAATTCTATGGGATTTAGCAGTAGAACAAAATTCTATAAGTTTAAGTTATTTAATAATTTTTATTTATAATTCTGTTTATTATTAAATGCTGTAGATAAAATGATCAATGGATCACACTTAAAGTTAATGTGATTTAAAATAAAATTAAAATATAACTTTTCATTTATGCATTCACTGTAATTTTTACTGTAGAGTAACAATCCTTCATCAAAAAAATGAATGAATGTAATCCTTCAAAATGCGTGAAAGTTGCATATGCTGAAAACTATTCACGCACTTATGCTTGATGTTGTCATTTTGTGGACGTAATTTTGTCCCAACCCAGAGGTGCAGAAAATACTTCAGTCACAAAATCACATCTCAATATCATACACAATGACACAATACAATTCATTAGTTTAATAGGGAAACATATTTTACTATGTGTCAGATTTAGAAACAGTCATGCATGTTGAAATTAATAAGTTATCTATAAAGAGTACTATTAAGTGATAGAGATTCAACATTGTCAGCATAGCTCAGTTGGTAGAGCTTTGGATACTAATTCTAAAGGCCCTGGGTTCGATCACCGTCGCGTCACTTTTTTGAAACTTTTTTTCACATTTAATTATCACCTATGTGTATTTATATTCACACATATACATGCATTTAAAATTAAGCATGAATTTGCAAATAGTAATCCTACAGCTATGCTTAATTATTAGTCGTATCATAAAGGTTATTTTGTCTGATTATGAGCAGTTCATCATTGATTTAAAAATACAGTGTAATTTTATGTAGTCGCATATTAAATTACTTGATAAAAAATAATTAAATAATAATATTTGTATTATGTTTTATATTGTTATTATATTTCTATTAATTTAACAATTGGTTCGTAAATAAAGCATAAAATAGATATAAAATAACCGAAAAGTAAAACAACAAAACAAATGTATAAATGTTTTGTCGTTAATGCAAAACGATTGGTCTCTAAACCACTCTTATATGCATTCAAATCATTTTTATTCACCACTTGTTTACCAATCAATGAATCCATTAATACGTAAAATAATGGAGTTTTAAATGCTTTATGACTTTCAATACCGGATTCGTAAATACAATTCAATCTAATATTAATATTAAAATAAAATTTTTAGTAAAATTAATATTTGATGAAATATATATAAATTAATTAATGCATTAATAAACAAACATATTTGTAAATTGACGTTTAATTTTTGGCTCTAATGTTTTCCTTATGGGATAACTCTCTAAATCCATATCATTTGTAGGCTTTGATATCATTAAACCATAATTTCCATAATATTTGTTCAACATTTCAAATCTATAATAATCCGCGACTAATACGGTGTGTGTGTTCACCAGTTTTAATATGAAATTAAATTTATAAATATCATGGTAGTTAATATAATGAACACGATGCATTAGTTTTGAAAGATGCTAGAAGTTTATATAACAATAAAATTTATTGTTAATTATATTCCAAATTCTGACAAAGATTTTTAAAAATAATTATTTTGTTTATATAATTCAATTTACGTTTTGTAAAACTTGATCTTGGTAATAATTCTTCATAACCATAATCTTAATGTCTGGTCTCTCATACAACTGTTGTATTGACTCTATTTTATCGGCACTTTTCGACACTTCAAGCGCTCGTAAATCGCTTTCAAAATAGTTTATGAAAATCATTGAAACCATAATCCATACCATTATTAATAGTTTGTTGTGAAATGGTTTTATATGAATACCTAGTCAAAATAAATTTTAATTAAATAAAATTAAAACTAATATTTAACAAACCTTTGCCTAAAAATAGGCTAAAATAATGAAAACTAGTTTTCGGGCCATTTATGACACAAATAATGACAAACGTTATAATAATAGCGATCCAAACGTTTAGTTGAAACACATTTAATATTTCAAATATATTGCTATTTTCATAATATTTAGCAGTACTTATTATATTTACTTGAGATGATACAGATACCAAATGTGGATAATCTATAACTTTATCACGCTTTGTATCATACATAAAACGTGACAAAACTGTATCAGTTTCCTAAAAAAATATTACTCTTATTAAATTACAAATTGAAATATTAAGTTTGATTTATACAAACATTTCTTTGAAATAGACCAAGAACACCTGTCCATGTTCCGTTTCTCAATAAACGTCCTTGATTGTAGTTTAAAATATTAAATATAATCCTATCATTATAAATTATTTTAGATTTGTATATTCAGATTATTATTTATAAAATTATTATAGATATGAATGGTTAATAACCAAACAGCATTTAGCAAAGTTTTTTAGATTTGTCTGGCTAAAAGTTGATATTTCAATTTATGATATTTTAGCTTTAGAATGAAATTTTTCAAAAATTCTTTTTACTAACATTATCAGCATTTAATGTAGTATTTGGAGATATAATTAATTATATTTAAATCTAATTTTATATTGAAGTCTCATAGGTTAACATGCAAAAGTTGCAAATGTTTGTTAAGCTGCTTTGTTAATTCTAGCAATCCGATGATGGTGGTTTTAAGTTATTATAACACGTTGACACCCCCTCTCCTGAACAGCATACTCGCCCTCCTCCGACCCCCTTACATAAAACCATGACATTTCGAAATGACCCAAAAATTTCTATGTTCTAGTCACGTGATTTTAATAAAATTTTATAGGAAAATACTAGAGATATGGAACATCATTATGCACTTTACAGATTTGATCTAGCTCATTTCGGTTATGAGATATAGATTGATAAATTTATGAATCCACTAAATGCTGTTTGATTATTAATTATTCATATATTTTTTTGTATACCTTTTATTGTATTTTTGTTTAATAATGTTTAACATGTATACTCTTGAATCGCAATATAGAGTTTTGTTATTTGGAGTTTTAATTATCTATAAATTAAATTTAATATATAAATTATTTTACAAATTATTCAAATAATTACTCTCTCGACAAATGCGATGACAATTAAACAACACGTTGTGTTTAAATAGTGATACAAATGTTGGTATCGATTGCTTTCATTCAATTCAATGCAAAACTTACTGTAAAATATTTCACTCATTTTAAAAATAATTATTTCTTAAATCAAATGCGATATGAATTTATGAAATATTCAAAAACACACTAAACCTATACAATGTATTAATACAATCAACTGAAACTCGTATTTATGTTTAAACGTGTATTGGAAGAATATCAAATAAATTATATTTATTCATTAATTGAATTAAATGTTTACATTGTTATATTGCAATAAAATTAATAAACTATTTGTAAATGCACTTTTGTTGATTAAGTTTATAGCAAATAGAAACAATCAT